GCAGCCAATCAACGATTCTCTCTCATCATTGATGTTTTTCTCTCTCCCTCTCCCTTCCTCTCTGAAATAAGAAATATTTTTACAAAGTCTTCCTGACTGCAGAACTGCTTTTTTGTGTGCAAGGAGGACAAGTACCGGAGTACACATACACACGAAGGAAGCACAGACCACGCTCCGAGGAGCAGGGGCCTTGCCCACGGGTCTGCTGGGATCCTGGCGCTCTAAGAAGGGCCCCTTCACTCGGCTCAGCGAACACACATGGCATCTTGTTCTTCCCACTGCTAGTGACGTGGCCTCCTGAAAAGCCTGCAGGATGCTCCCCGATCCAGTCAGGGAAAACCACACCACCCCTAACAGGACACAACTGTTGACCTACAGGACGCTGTGTGAAGCTCTGAAACCACATCTTTCTCATTTTGGGAGACGCCCCCATTCAGGCAGACAGACACTCACTGAGAGCCTCTCCCTGAGGCAGAGCCTCCTCGCTGGAACACCATCCCCTCCAGCTCCCACAGCAGGTGCTGGGAGAGAAGAAGGAGATGGTGGGAGCTCCCTGTGTCAGGGGCAGGGCCACCTGGGGGAGGGGAATTCTACCTTCTCCTGACCCCCAGGAACTTTGCAAAAGTGCATGAATTCTGGTTCAAACGAAGATAACAAATCCATCATATTTCAAGGACACCCAACTATGAAGCAAAGCAAGGCATTGTCTTTTTTCTCTCATGCTTTTTGATGCTTGCAGGCTTGTGGCAAACTTGCTGCTCGGTTTCTAAAACATGCAGAGAGCAGACTGACAGCAGCGTTTGCTATATTGGTGCCCAGCCCACACCCACCCCGACCGGAGACTGACCCAGTGCCTTCAGGAGCGGGATGAGGACAGCGCCCTGCCCTGCGAGGCAGCGCACAGCACGGAACCGAGGGCCGCGGCGCATGCCGGTCCAGAGTCTCACAGGCAGAGTGTCCGGGGGGACGAGCAGGGACACAGGGCGACCTCCCAAACGCTCTAGCATCAGTCCCCGCAGGACAGAGGTTGCAGCTGGGCACTGAGCTAAGGCACGAGGGCTGCAGCAGAGGGAGAGCACACACAGGTCCGGTGGCCCCGAGAGGAGAGGCGCTGCTTTCAGGGACGGCCTTAGCATAGCAATCTGCTGCTTTCAAGGACGACAACCGAATCCCTGTGTTTTCCCCTTAGAAGAACGTCTTGCTCTCCCCTCGGGGAAATTCGTTGCAGTTTTCAAGTCTGGGTAGCAGTGCAGAGAGCTCCACCCGGAGCCCCTTGGGGGCACCTTCGCTCTCGCACTCCCTCCTCCATCACAGCCTTGCGAGCTGCCTCTTTCTCACTGTGGCTTCGCGTGGAGCCATGGGGCATCTCTCCTGGAGCAGGACCCGCACGTCTCCGGTCACAGCCTGATGAACGCGGCCGGCTGGCTCTGCTGCTGCTCGGCGTCGGGGGGCGGGAAGACGCTGGATATGGCTATGTCCACGATGCCCTGGCACAGTTCTGCATAGAGTTTCCTGAAACGTGTTCAAAAGTATGTTACTGAGGAAGTTCACCAACGTGCAAGCGAGAAACCAAAGTTTTTCTCACCAGGATCTGCCCTGGAAATTCCATCCCCTGACCACATTGATACAAGTGGCCTCCGCTGTCCACACAAACACGGCGGGAGGCGCCGTGGGAAGACGACGCGTCTGGAAGGCCTCGCAGGTGCACGGACAGAGAATCCCACTGACATGAGCCGCAGGGAAGACGGCAATTCCAGTAGAGTGGACGGGCCCTCCGCTGCCTGTGCGGGGGACACGGAGGGCAGGCCTCCCCACGCAGAGCACCCACTCCTTGCGGTTGAGGGGACGTTAGGAAAGACTCCCCATGAGTGCCAGCTGAGCTGAGGCCAGGGGAATGAGTGAGGTCAGAGGATGGGGACAGGGTAGAAAAGAGGATGGAGGAGGGCAAAGACAGGGACAAAGACAACGGAGGAGGGAGGGAGGGGAGAGAGAGAGAGAGTGAGCTGGGTGGGGAGGAGCGGGCAGCGCAATGAAAGGAGAAGCAGGGAGGAGAGACGGCCAGGGGTTCGGGGAGGTGGATCAGTGCAGGTTGGTGCTGCAGACAAGGCACTGGCCCGGCCACATCGGCCTGTAGGCCACATCCAGGCTCTGGACTTAATCCAGACAATGGAAGCACCAAAGCAGAAAAGCTGAGGAGGAAAACTTCAGAATAGCGATGAGGCCCTCCACCCCTGCCTATTCCCTATAGGATGTCTGCCCGCTTCATGGGGCAGCTCATGAGGCTGAGACTATCCCTCAGGACTGGCTCTAATGCAGGGTAAAACCAGAAATGTGTGGTCCCGAGAGAAACTCACTTCTGATTATGCTCCGGGCCACCCGGCCTAGGAAAACAGGGGTCTTTATTGTCCTGCTTCCCGATTTCCACCAGGAGAAATCCTCACCATCCGGTTCCCCCCTCCCAAGGCAATGGCGTCCCTGCCGTCAGCCTCCCCATCGCAGGACCTTCTCCCCGCACCCCATTCCTTCTCACTGCCCTGAGGTTCTATGTCGCAAACCACGCAGCCGCCCGCCTCTAAGGAACAGTGACAGGAGGCGCGTGAGGCGTGACGGTTGTTACTAAAATGGGGGCTTGGCCCATCCCCTGCCCCTGGCCTCTCAGGGTCCCCGGGTCCCTCGTGGCTTCCAGGCCGCCTTACTGTAAGCCCCACCCCCAGTCCAGAAGTCCTCCCCTCTCAAAGTCATGCACCTAAACCACAGAACCTATTGATTGTCTATTGCGGACGTGTAACAACATGATTCCCAAAGTAATCACTCGGGCAGTGTCTGCCCGTCTCTCTCCGGCAGCGGACCGCCCTGAGCACACTCATTTCTGCGGGACTTCCCGCTGACCCTTCGGAAGATCTGTTTCTCCAGGATGTGGACATGGAGGAGAAGATGACCTTGGATATCGGAAGGACAGAGCCTTTAAGGAGAGAGTCCAAACGACTCTCCCTCACATGTGCGGCGTCCCCTCCGTCATTCCTCAGTCATTCCTCACGGCACGACATGATGCCACCTGCAGCCACTTCCCCCAAAGGAATGGGAGCTCCCCCACCACCACCCCCCGCAGGTTCTTGGAAGGACAGGCCTTTAAGGATCGAGTCCCAACGACTCTCCCTCACATGTGCGGCGTCCCCTCCGTCATTCCTCACGGCACGACATGATGCCACCTGCAGCCACTTCCCCCAAAGGAATGGGAGCTCCCCCACCACCACCCCCCGCAGGTTCTTCCCAGAGCCTGGCAATGAGCAAGGCTCCGCTGGTGCCTGGTGTGTGCCCCTTCCTGAAAGCTCTCCCTCCTCCTGGGCACAGGCCACACCTCTCAGTCCCAGCTCCACTGCATCTCCGATGCTTCTCCGACCACTTGCTGCCCGAGGAGGCCGACCTTCTTGGTCATCACCGTCTCCGCCCGAGGACCCTGCCCGCTCATCTCCTCCCGCAGTCTCTAGCCGCGTTTGAAACTCTCCCAGCAGCGACCACCCGCCTGAGCAGTCGAACCGCTCCACACACATGGGGAAACGGGAGAGGAAACGCCTCCGCAAAGCCCCTGCCAGCAGGGTCCCCGGGGCCTCCTGTCCTGCCACTTCCTCCCTGACAGCGGCCCAGGGCCACGCAGCACACGGCCGTGCTGAGACGGGTCCTCCCAGCCTCCACCTGCTACAGCCCTGCGGGGTGAGGCTTACTGAGCACAAGCAGGGGCACCGTTGACCTCGATGAGCCAGACCTTCAGCTCCTCGTCCACCATGAAGTCGAAGCCAAACAGCTGGAAGCTCTGGTAAGGGAGGTGCCGGGTGCTGATGGCGGGCTCCACGCTCAGGAGGCAGCTCCTGCGGGCAGAGGGAGAGCTGGCTGAGAGGGCGCGAGGGCGAAGGGACCGGAGATGGGCCAGAGGACTGCCCATGAAAGGTGCTGCCATGAATCGGCTTTGGCGCCCTCTCTCCTTTAAAGTTGTCGCCGACAGATTGTTCAAGACAATGCTACTTCCCCAGCAACTTGTGAGAAGACCTGTAACCACGCATGTCTTTACAAACACAGGCTGCTTTCCCAGCTCCGAGCTGTCACCCGGGCCCCGGAAAGGTGGGTCCCTCCCACAGGACGGCTGCTGCCACATGTTGTTTATAATAAATAAAACACTTTCATGTACGTTTTCCAGAGAAAAGAAGTGGACCAATGGTCAACCAGTGAGGGGAGAATTGGCACAAAGACTATTGGCCTCATTCATTCCTTTTGCTTGTTCCAGTTCTGTTGCCAAATTGTTACTCATTAGAAGATTGAAGAGCTACATATATTGAAACTAAATGTTGAAACAGAATAATTATTAGTATCAACTACTATTTCCCAAAATTGGAAAAGCAGAAAAATGGAATATGCACTATAAAACATAAACATTTGAAAAAAAATATAAAAGTTGAAAGAGCATCTCAGAAACATAGTCAATAAGTAAGTGAGGTCAGAGGTCAGGCTGCCGAGGCCAGAATTTTGGTCAATGTTTTAACCTCTTGGAGCCAAGCTTTGATTTCTATAAAATAGGGGGTAAAATAATACCTACTCCTGGGGCTGAGATGGTCCAACAAGGTAATTACATAAGGAGCTAACGAATAATAAGCCACTATCTTCTAATACAGCCATCCCAGAATACGTAGGCCTTTTCGGTTTTATGAAGATCTTCCCTGATTTTTCCCTAGCTGAAAGTTGGGGCAAATCCCTATCTATAATAATAAAAGTGTAATATGCTAATTAGACTGGACAGCCAAACGACCTTCCAGACTTCCTTCCGGCACCTTCCGGACGAAGCCGGGGCTGCAAGGGCCGAGGCAGCCACTGTGGCTGTGAGGGCCGAGCCCTTTGCAGAATTTCGTGCATTGGGCCTCCAGTCTAGGTAATAAAATACGTTATGATGACTCTAAGATGACCACAGATAGCTGTCCTTATACGCCACTGTACAGTTAGAAGGGAAACTATGCAGGCTTCCCTGGGACAAAAGCCATAATTGACAAGATAATGACCATGAATATTCCAAGATTCAAGAAGCACTATGAATGTGTACAAAGAAATTTGTACAAAGAAAACTATATACTAAACACATCTCATAGTAAAATTTATAAAATAAACAAAAATTAATCTTAAAAACAGAGAAAAATATCACTAAAAGGAATACTAAGATTTCAACTGACATCTCAGCAGAAAAAATGGAAGCCAGAAGATAATGGTGCCACCTTCAGAGTGCTAAAAAAATGTTAACTGCTGACCTAGAAATCTGTTTCCAGAGCAAATGTCCTTTAAAAATGAAGACAAAATAAGTATACTAATAAAAATGAGTCTAAAATACATGGAGCATTAATGACCATCCATGTACCCACATCCGTACTTTCAGGTCTCCTCCTTGGGTCCCTCCTGCTTTTTCTCCAGAGAAAATCACTATTTTGAATTTTTTGCTTCTCTCTTTATTTTTACCACATATGTACCTTCCTCTAAATAATGTATTTACTAAACTTTGCTTGTTTTTCAGTTTATATGAATAGAATCAATCTGTATGTGTCTTGTATACAGCTTTTAATTTTTTATTTTTTTTGTGATTGACATTATGTTTGTGTAATTCCAGTGAAAATGTCCTTCAGGAATAAGAGAAATAAAGACTTTTTCAGATGATGGAAAATTAAGAGGACTGATCACCAGCAGAACGGCTCTAAAAGAAATGACGATGTCTGAAGGGAAACGATACCAGAGAGAAATCTGGAACCTCGGGACTAAAAGAAGAGAGAAAATAAAGGCAAATATATGGGTAAATAAAAATGTTTTTTCTTACTTTATATTTAAATGTGTTTCTTATAGACAGCATCCAGTTTGGCCTTATAGTTTTTAAAAACCAAACTGGACTATCTACATAACAAAATGTATATAATGGTTGATACCAAAAATTATAACATTATGTGGTAGAGATTTCAATTTATGTGGATGTAATACACATGGTAACTATAACACAGAGAGGGAGAGTCAAGTGAAGTATAATGTTATGTCTGGATTTCATGTGAAGTGGTGAATTATTAATTCTAAGAAGACTGAAATATGAGATACATATATTTTTTAATCCCTAGAATCACCACTAAAATATAGACAGACAGACAGAGCCAAATATTCAACAAGAAAATTAGAACTCTGAAAATATTCAAATAATTCTAAAGAGATCAGGAAATGGAGACATGAAAGCAAATAAAAACAAAGAAAGAGGGAACCAATCGACCAAATAATAAAATGGTAGATATAAATCCAACCAAGCCAATCATTACATTAAATTTACACGGTGTAAATACACCAATTAAAAGACAGAGATTATTATATTGGATTCAAAACAAAACAAAACACACAAAAAACCCAACTCTACATTGTCTACCAGAGTCCAGTTGAATAGAATAGAAGTAAAAGAATGGAAAGAAAATACCACTAATCAAAAGAAAACTGGAGTGACTGTATTAATAAAAAAAACGAACTTTAAAATAAGAAATATTAGAGAAATAATGACGGATACTACACAATAATAAAGTAGTCAATTTTCCCAAAAGAGAGAACAACTCTCAATGTATATGCACCTCATAATAGATCTTCAACTCATAACTATATAAAACAAAAACTGATAAAACTAAAAAGAGACATAGAAAATCCAAACACTTGGAGACTTCGATTTTTTCTCTCTCAATAATAAACAGCAGAACAGGAAAACAGCAAGGATATAAAAGACATGAACAGCACTAGCAACAACCTTCACCGAAGTCGCATTTATAGAACAAGCTTAAGTAGAGCGAGTAAATGTTATTCTTAGTGCACTCGGAACATTCACAAAGATGGACCATATTCTAGGACACAAAACTAACACATTTTAAAGACACAAAACCATACAAACTATATTCTCCGACGACAATGGGATTATAGTAGAAATAGTAACAGAAAGATATCTGGAAAAATCCCCTAATATTTGGAAATTAAGCCAAAGTTTCTAATAACACATGAGTTAAATATGAAGTCACAAGAGAAACTAGAAATTATTTTAATAAAATGAAAAAAACACACAACATAGCAAAATCTGGAGGTATGGCTAATGAGTACTTCGAGGGAAACTGATAGCATTAAATGCTTATATTTTAATTTTTATTATTTTTAATAAAGCATATCTTTCTTGATTTCAGAGAGGAAAGGAGAGAGACAGAAAGATCAATGATGAGAGAGAATCATTGATCGGCTGCCTCCTGCATGCCCACTACTGGGGATTAAGCACGCCACCTGGGCATATGCCCTTGACCAGAATCAAACCTGGGACCCTTCTGTCCGCAGGCCAAAGCTCTATCCACTGAGCCAAACCAGCTAGGGCAAATGCTTATATTTTTAAAAAATGAAGTATCTCAAATCAATGATCTAACCTTTCACAAAGAAACTAGAAAAAAAAAATTAAACACCTCCCAAAAGCAAAAGGAAATAATAAACAGCATTAAGTCAAAGAAAACAAAACAAAAAACAATAGATACTCAGTCAAGCAAAAAACTGACTTTTTGAGAAGATTAATAAAACTGATAAGCCTTTAGCCCAGTGATTCCCAAAGTGGGCGCTACCACCCCCTGGTAGGCACTGCAGCGATCCAGGGGGGCAGTTATGTCCACAGGTGCATTTGGGGGCGATGAGTAACTGCTATTAAAATTTAAAAAAAATTAATTTCCAGGGGCTGAGTAATATTTTTTCTGGAAAGGGGGCGGTAGGCCAAATAAGTTTGGGAACCACTGCTTTAGCCAATCCAATCAATCCAAGAAATAGAGAAGATATAAACTACCAACATAAGGAATGAAAGCAGTGACATTATTAGAGATCCCACAAATATCAAAAGAATAATAAAGAAATATTACCAAAAAATTTTTGTCTTTAAATTAGACAACTTAAATGGAATAATTCCTTGAAAGGCACAAACTCCCAAAGCTTCTCCAAAACACATATAGCTAAAAAGATACAATTAGGTTACCTTATGATATGTTTGATTTGTACTAAGATAGCATTCTCCAGGGTAATGTTCAAAGCACTGGTCAGGTACTGATTGAACTCCTCAAAGAACATTTCATTCCCTTCTTCATACTTCCCATAGTTCTTTGAATATTCCTTTTGAATGCAGTGATTGGTCAAGTGGCAGGTCTTGTCTTGAAAATTATCAACATGATACGGTTCTGACGCAGTCCGCAGCACGCCCTCTCGGTAGAGGTAGATATTGTACTGGTGATCCACCAAAACCCAGCTTCTGCAAGTCAACAAAAACAGTTACTCACGTCCTCCAAAGTTCCTTCACATCGGGTATCTGTATCATCCCCTGGTTTTCTTGGCGGGAAGTAGGGGAAGAAGGTAGGTTCTAAATTATGCAGGCAGGCCACAACAAATACCTGAGACAGTGGGCCAGCACTGTAATGATCAAACCAAACATGTCACCACCAATGACAAGGGGACTCAGATCCATTCAAGAGCCAGCGTTTTGAAGAGATTTGATGGGCTTGCTTTAAAGGTTAATCTATGAAACCTCCATCTGCCATGTTTGGTCATTTTAAGTAATTTTAAGAGGAAGACTGTTCATCCTAAAGCTGACCTGACATAAAGGCAGCTGAGACCCAGTCCTTTCTGAAGAGCCAACAGCCAGGCCACAAGCAGGCTGGGCTGAGGGTCATGCAGCTGTAGGAAGCCCATAATTTTAAGAAGAAGATTGTTCATCCTAAAGCTGACCTGACATAAAGGCAGTCCTTTCTGAAGAGCCAACAGCCAGGCCACAAGCAGGCTGGGCTGAGGGTCATGCAGCTGTAGGAAGCCCCTCACCTCTTCTTGCCAGGCTCTTTGCTCAGAAAATGAAGTCCACAAACCTGAGATGTGTTCATGAAATCCTCAAAAAGTAGGACATAAATAAGGTCAGGACATATTATTTGTCCGGGTCACATGATCTGTTGTGTCTGAATTACATGTTCCGTGTACCTCTCTCCCATTGTAAGGCCCATTTATGTATGTATGTATGTATGCATGTATGTATGTGTCTTCCATTAGCAAATGGCTTGGCAACTCCAACTTGCCATTCTGGTAAGGAAGTAAGGTACCAAAAAGTCAGTATGTACCATCTCACGTTCCAGCACTTCCAAATGCATTCTAAATTAAGAAATACATCTAGAAATTCCATTAGTCCTCTTACCCTATTTATTGAGCATCTACTTTCACCAAGTTATGTAGGGAGATAGAAGGGAATATGTAAGGGAGGACGCTCCAACCAACTGAGCCACACCAGGTGCAAGGCCCATATGTTTATGCCCTTCCCTTTGGATCCACAAGTCATTTTCATTTAAAAAAAAAATAATAGTAAATGAACAAACAAAAAAACCCCCATAATCTTAGTAACATATTTTAGAAAGAAAAATATTGAAGAAAAAATAGAGAATTAGATACAGAAGCTCAGTTCCATTCAGCTGTGCTCAGTGTTGGTAACGTATTAAACACAGTCAAACACTTCCTCACATTGCACCTCACCCTCCTCCCCACACACCACTGCATGGACGCATTACCTAATGTCGAACTTGCGATGCCCCGGCTCCAGCAGCAGAGGGCGCTCGAGGTATTTCTGGATCACGTGCACCTGGCCCTGGTTGTCTATGAAATCCAGAAGTTCGGCAGCGTCCGAGGAGATGAGGATGCCTTCACCTGACCAGGAAAATTAAAACGAAAATTAGTGCAGTCCGTCCCAAGAGGAACCGCTCCCTGCAAAGCCGGGGAGGAAACACTGACAGTCGGCCTACTCACTCTTCTTTCTCCACCCTTCCCTGGTCCAATCTCTCACACTCTCCCCTCCGCCCACCAAAGCACCAGGGTCATTCAACTTTTCCTCCACATAGGGTTGTAAACACTGTCTTGGCCAGCTGCGACCATGAAGTTTCATTTCTAAGGACATTGTAACTAGGTCTCGGCGCCCTAAATAAATGCGGCTCTCCTGTGGATCACAGCCTGCTGTGATAAAGACGCTGTACTGCCCGTGACCACGTCTAACACCCTATCTTATGGAAACACCAGGAAGGTTACGGCATAGATACAAAAGTGCAAGTGGATCCCCTGCAGTTTGGTAACAGAAAAAAACTGGCTACATTCAAAGTGTCCATCAACATTACATAATGATACAATATCCTTTTAACAGCTTCACTGATATAATTTACCTGCCATAAAACCCACCCTTTTACAGAGTACAATTCAATGGTTTTTAGTATATTCCAGTAATTATCATTACAACCTTATTTTAGAACATTTTCATCACCTCCTGCAAACTCTACATCCACCAGCAGTCCTCCATTCCTTCCTCGCCCAAGCCCCTGACAAACACTAACCGACTATAGATTTGCCTGTTCTAGCTGCTTCATATAAATGGAATCATCCAGTATGTAGTCTTTTTGTGTCTGGCTTTTTTAAATTGAGCATCATGTTTTATTTTTTAAATGTATTTTTATTGATTTCAGAGAGGAAGGGAGAGGGAAAGAGAGACAGAAACATCAACGATGAGAGAGAATCATTGATCGGCTGCCTCCTGCAGCCCCCCACTGGGAATTGAGCCCACAACCCAGGCAGAGCATCATGTTTTTAAGGTTCATCCATGTTGTAGCATGTGGCAGTGTTTCATTCCTCTCTATGACAGAATAACATTCCATTGTATGGATATATCACATTTTGCTCATTCATTCACCAATCGATGGATATCTGAGTTGTTTCTACTGTTGTTTGGCCCTTACAAATAATGCTGCTAGGAAAATCTGCAAAGAAGTTTTGTGTGGACATATATTTTCAATTCTCTGGGGAATATACCTAGGAGTGGAATAATATAGTAATTTTATGTTTAACTTTTTAGAAACTACCAAACTGCTTTCCAAAATTGCACCATTTTACATTCCCCCAATATATGAGAGTTCCAATTTTTTCACATTCTTACCAACACTTGCTGTCATCTGTCTTCATAATTATAGCCAGTTTAGTGGGTGTGAAGTGGTATCTCACTGTGGTTTGATTTGCATTTTCCTAATGCTTAATAATGTCGAGCATGTTTTCATGTACTGATAGACTGTCTTATCTGTATGTCTTCTTTGGAGAAATTTCTATTTAGATTCTTTGCTCACTTCCTAATTGGGTTATTTGTCTTTTTGTTATTGCGTTATATGAGTTCTTTATACATTCTGGATGCAGACGCCTCATAAGAGACATGATTTGCAAGTATCTTTGTCCATTCTAAACAGTTTCATTATTGCATGGACCCCTCAATTTTCTCTTCTAGAACCACAACTGCTTCCCTCCCCATAGCACCCTCCAGACAACCACTAATCTGGTCTCCATTTCTATAGCTTTGTCACCCCAGAAATGTTATATAAATAGAATTATACACTATGCGACCTCTGGGAATTGGTGTTGCTTTTTTCACACAGCATAATTCCCTGCAGATTCAACCAAGTTGCTGATTTCAGCAATAATTCATTCCCTTCTATTGCCGAGTAGTATCTTGTGGGGTCGATTCACCAGAGTTTGCTTAATCCTTCACCTGTTGAAGGAATCTGAGTTGCTTCCAGTTGGGCTATTATGAATAAAGCTTCTGTGAACCATCACATACAGGGTTTACGTGGCCATGTTTTCTTTTCTCTGGGACAAATGCCCAAGAGTGTGCAAGTGGATCCGGAGCTCACAGGAAAGTACCTAGCTGCAGAGTACCTGTATGGAGATGGACATGCAGAAGTCTCCAGCATGTAGATCAATATTTAAGGCTATGTAACTAACTGTGCTATCTACCCTCAGGGTTCATATGAGAAGTCACTCATCCAAATACATCGTGAACGTCTAGCGTACGACTGCACAGAGCACTGGAACCTAAGGGACGGCAATGCCAACTCACCTTTGGCACCGGAGGATGACTTTGCAATCCAAACATTGCCCTCTCCGTCTTCCTTCTTTTTGTTATAAGAAGCCAGGAAGAATTCCCTTTCGTCCGTCCTTGAGCTAGGGATCGGCGGGTGGATTCCGTTCTGTGCGGGAGCAGCTGGGGTCTTGAGGTTAGTGGGGTAGATCACATAGGACTCGGGGAACCATGTGCAGGACTCGGCCAGCTCTGGGCTCGTCTTGATGAGCCTGGCAGACGACAGAGGGTCAGTCATCGGTCACTCTCTTCAGAAAAGCCAGTGCTACCTCCAGAGCTCATCAAGGAGGCAGCGTGTAACCAGGGCCCGGGAGCTGGTCTCCTTGTCCCAGTCTTTGCTCTTCCCTCCCTGGACCGATCTGTAATGCACTACAGATTGCACACAGCTATCCATTCAACCTTAAAGGCGTGTGTCAGCTGGGTCAAAAGGGACCCAATGTCCAGAACCTCAGCTCTTTTTAAAAATGTATCTCCAGCCCTAGCTGGTTTGTCTCAATGGATAGAGCATTGGCCTGCGGACTGAAGGGTCCCGGGTTTGATTCCGGTCAAGGGCACATGCTGGGGTTGTGGGCTCAATCCCCAGTGGGGGGTGTACAGGAGGCAACCAATCAATGATTCTCTCTCATCATTGATGTTTCTATCTCTCTCCCCTCTCCTTCCCTCATATATATATCTCCAATATAGTAAAACTCTAATATGCAAATCGACCGAACGGCAGAACAACCAGAGGAATGACCAGTTGCTATGACATGTACTGACCACCAGGGGGCAGATGCTCAACGCAGGAGCTGCCCCCTGGTGGTCAGTGTGCTCCCACAGGGGAGCGCCACTCAGCCAGAAGCTGGGCTCACGGCTGGTGAGCGCAGCAGCTGTGGTGGGAGCCTCTCCTGCCTCTGTTGCAGGTGTGCAGTAAGGAGCGAGGGGTCCCAGACTGTGAGAGCCCTGACTAAAAGAGGGATGTCTGACTGCTGGCTTAGGCCCAATTCCCCCTGGGATCAGGCTTAAGCCGGCAGGCGGACATCCCCTAAGGGGTCCCAGATTGCGAGAGGGCACAGGCCAGGCTGAGGGACCACCCCCCCGTGTACAAATTTCATGCACCGGCCTCTAGTATATGTGTGTGTGTGTGTGTGTGTGTGTGTGTGTGTGTGTGTATATCATCTCCAAGGAAACTTAACTTGAAATAATCCTGAGCCAACACTTTCCTGGCTTCAAGACAGACTAAAGGAGGAATCTTTCTAATGGGACACTGGACGCTAGTGGTCATAACTAAATGTACCTCCTGCCCCCAAATAACATGACACAACAGAAGATAAAGTCAGGCTCTGGGCGAGGCACTTAATAAAAAGCAGGGCTTGCGAAGGGTTTCCCACCACATCTACTCTCCAGCCGGTCCCTTGAGGGGGAGGCACCAGCATCCCAGTTCATAGATCAGACACTGGGCCACACAAAAGTGAGTACATTTCCCAGCATCACTCAGGTCGTAAGACACAGGCACGATGCAAGTCCCTAACTCCCAAGTCCTAACTCTGCCTGGCCCTCCCTCCCCAGGGTCAGAGCCAGCCAAGAGCCAATCACGGGCCTTCCCTAAGCTGGGCTCATCTTCTGCAGAACTGCGAATATTAAGCTTCCGTTAAATTCACCCGCAAAACCCAGTCTGTGCGCAAATGGCAGAAATAATGAAAGGAAATTTAAAACTGAGATTTAAAATAGTTATTTTAAAGTTGAAGACAACAGGATTTGAGTTACTTGAACTTAAAGGAACAAATGCATTTCTAACTCACTGAATGTTCAACTCTCTCTGCACTGTCCAATAGGGTGGCCACTAGCCACATGTGGCTTCTGAACCCTAGAAATGTGGCCAGTGTGACACATTTCAAGTGCTCAGAGGAACTGAATTTCACATTTAGCTTAGTTTTTAACTTAAAACCTCAAGCCTTGTAAAACATTTGTCCATTAAGCACAACTTCACTGTTTTGGCAGGAGGACATTTCCCTTTAACCACTGCAGGGCCCGACGTGCTGTATGGCGGCGCGCTCTGCCAGGCGCACTGCTGCATCACCATAAACACACCACTGTTCCACTCAGGGACAATGGGCTGCCTCAGTCCACGTGGGCTCTTTCCAGGCGATAATGAGACATTGTGATGTGTTTATTATGCAGACAGCAGAGTTATAGTGACAGCTGGATAAATCATAATTGGCAACTAAAGTAAAATTTGTCTAGTTAAAAAAATAAATACGGACAATATTAAAATTTAAAATAAAGTTAAACTACAGATGCAACAGAACTGAACAGAGACACAGAAGCTATAACTACAACCAGAACAGTAAGGGCGGGGGGAGGGGAGGGGCGGGGAAGAAAGCAGTAGCAGAAGGTATGACACAAATTTTACAACGAATGACGAACAATTGCAATTTGTTGTGGCAGAGTGTACATGAGACATTTTTAGCAAATACATAATGAAGTTGATCTTCCTCTCAACAGTCAAAAAGAATCAATGAAATTAGTGGCTGAAATTCAAATTAAATATTCAACAAAACAATGGAAACAAATGTTTAATAGGATCTGTGCTTGTAGCTTCGGTCAGCTATAAAATGACTTGGATTCTACACAAAAAAGAAAAGCACTTCAGATAAAAATGTGGTAATAGAAATTATTTTGAGGAAATAAGACTAAAAAACATATTTTACAGAAAGTGAACAATTTTTAGTCAAGCCAGTTAAGTAACTGCCTACAGAGTATAAAACATTTTTAACAATAAAGATGGATTCAAAACTTGAAAATTAAAAAAAAATTTTTTTAAATAAGTGGTGTGACATAAAAGACTGCCTAATTAACACTTTGGGTCTGTTCCCTCAAAGGATTTACAAATATATGAAAAACATTGTCAAATTGAAGCCTAAAAATATCAAGCTCACCGTGTGGCTCATTTTTCATCATTTACATCTGTCAAAGGCGAGTTCCACCTACAGGCGAAAAATCCCTGTCTGTCACGACAGATAGTGCTCCAGCTGGGTTGAGTTAAAATTTGGATTTACTGGGATTTTAAGACTGGTATTTCCCATATTACTGCATTCTACTGTCTGATACATGTTGGAAACATCTGCACTCAGTTTTCCGAAGCCCACTCCCTGGAAGGTATCATGGATACAACTCTTACGCTGTTTCAGTATGTACTTGCCAACGCTACCATGACTCACCAGTAGAGACCTGTCGCACGAAACAGAAGGCAGTGTTTAATGATGCTGTGTTCTCTGCCAAGGATAGTCAGAGGGAAGAGTTTTGTAAAGACTTAGTGTACAGTTAAAACACTAAATAAAAGGAATTTCTTGAAATAAAAGGAATGCTTGCTAAATCACTTTTTAAAAAATATATTTTTATTGATTTCAGAGAGGAAGGGGGGGAGAGAGAGAGAGAAACATCAATGGTGAGAGAGAATCATTGATTGGTTGCCTCCTGCACGCCCCCTACTGGGGATCAAGCCTGCAACCCAGGCATGTGCCCTTGACTGGAATCGAACCCAGGACCCTTCAGTCTGCAGGCCGATGCTCTATCCACTGAGCCAAACCAACTAGAGCTAAATCATTATTTTCAATATTTCATTATTTTACCCAATAACCAAAAGATTAAATGGCAGTGTGATTCTCACACTGCTACAAACAAGCTAATTTTAAAGTTCAGAAGAAGAGAAAAGAAAACTTTATTTATGACCCAGCCAAATAGGTATGAGAATTTATGTTGGGACTTTAGAATACAAGTCAAAAATAATGGTTTTACATATTTTTATAACATGACTTCATATGCAGAAGATTTTTAATTGTAACAGACAGCAAAGTAGCTGCAAAACTAAGGGAAATTTTGAAAAACATTTGGTTGAAGTTAATACATTTAGAGTTCTTTTCAATTTATTCAATACTCTTTTGAATTTGATACTGAGTTAACACAAGAGTTGGTGAATTTATTTAACTTGGACATAGTTTTGAAAATGTTATACCTTTGCTTTAAACCCAAGTTAGTTCTTCTAATAAAATGACCCTGTTTTGTCATTGTGCATGCATATTAAAGAACAATGTTTACTTGGTATCTGATTCAGTTATTGAAAAATTTTTACATAGGTGGGAGCAAATTGGGTATATAAATCTTTTTTTAAGCATAAATTTTTATGAAATCTAAATACAGAACAAGGGGTTTGCAATAAAAATTTAGTGCCTGAATTAAGATGTGCTGGGAATGTAAAATACACACTAGATTTTGAAGACTCGGTATAAAAACAAAATCTGAAATACATCGCTCCTTTTTTTATATTAATTACATGTCAGAATGAAATTTTGGATTATTTAATTAAATAAAATATATGATTAAGATAAATTGCACCTGTTTCTTTGTACTAGTTTTGACGTGGCTACTGGGAAATTTGAAGTCACACGTGGCTAGCATTCTATTGGGGTTGGATAGCGCTGGCCCACAGGATCACCTTCATTGCCTGTAGGAAACCAAGACCAGTTTCTGCAGGAAGTTCTTTGCATTTGTCCCATTTCCTCATAAACCCATTTGGAAAGAAATCATGCCTGGAGGCTTATTTACATCTCCAGGGGAGAAATGCTCACAAGAGGGAAAGAGAGTCCACAACCTGAGCCAGAAGAAAAGCCCCTCAGGGCTCTGAATCTATGGCCTGGGGCCTCGATGAATTTCTGACACTCCCTGTGTCGTGATGCAGGAAGGTGCCTGCAGTCCAGGGCCCAGGGTAGGATCCTCGTAGAAACCCTCCGGGGGCTGCCCCGTGGCACTGCCCCTGGTCCTCTGGGTACAGGCTGGCATCATCCTGGCTCAGCTGCGACGGCCCTGCACAATCCAGCTGTCCTCTGTGAGCTGCCATCCAAGATGCCTTTTTTTTTTTTTAACTCTCCGAGCCCTTTCAAGCCATCAAAATCATGGGAAAGAGACAAAATGATAAAGGGAACCATCACCTCCTGCAATGACTACAGTCCCGAGAGAATAAAGGACACTTGTGAAGATGAGAGCAACCCCAGTCTGCATAAGTCAAGATGTCACAGACTGTGTCGCATGCCACCAGGGGCAAAGAGCAGGTGTGAGCACCATCAGCCCCATTTTACAGATGGGGCGCTGGGCGTCAGCCTGGCGCTGTCCAAGGTCCCAGAGAACAGACACCTAATCACACCTGGTCATGCGGTCCTGTACTTCTCACTCCACCTCAGTATAGTTGCTGAATATGCAAATACCCAGAATAGTTTCCTACAGCATCCTCTGTTCTCACTCATAAAAGCAAAATTCTACCTTTATCTTTATAGGAAAAAATTATAGTAGAAAAAATACTAAATAAACATTTTATATTAATTTCTAAAGGAATAATCTGGACAATCATGTCTCACTTCTAGTTCTAGTTAAAGAATCTTTTGCATCTAATATGTAATAAATGTGTAATCAGAAGACTTCAGCTCTAGCCAGTTTGGCTCAGTGGATAGAGCGTCGGCCTGTGGGCTGAAGGGTTTTGGGTTTGATTCCGATCAAGGGCTCATGCCTGGGTTGCAGGCTCGATTCCCAGTAGAGGGCATGCAGGAGGCAGCCGATCAATGATTCTCTCTCATCATTGATGTTTCTCTCTCTCTCTCCCTCTCCCTTCCTCTCTGAAATCAATAAAAAAAATATTTTAAAAAAAGAAGAAGACTTCAGAAAGCGTGTCTCCCTTAGGAGTAGCCAACAAATCAGGAAGACTCCTCACTGAGAGAAGTGGATACTAAGTCACTGGGGCCAGTGAGTCTGAACAAAAAGGGGGCATATTCCTATGAAGACTGCACCTTTATTTTTAAAAATATATTTTTTAATTTATTTTGAGGCAGGCATTATTCAAAGCTTTTACATACATTAACTCAATCCAGACAACAACCCCAGGCAGTTCCTATTATTGTCCCTAATTTACAGAGAAGGAAACTGAGGCACAGAGTCAAATGCTCCCTATAAACCCCTGTGCCCCACACTTTACACACATCACCTTTATCCATCCTCACAACCGCCTAGGAGGGACATGGTGGAACTTAGAGGGATGAGGACATTTGCCTCAACTAATCAGAGGGAAAGCTGGGATCACAAGATCAGCAGATAATATCGCTTCCTCTACCTTAAGATACTGTTCTTATGACACCTGCCAAACCCAACTTCGTGGAGAGGGACGGTGCAGCAGATGCAGTTACACCCTCCAGGTGTCCTTCCTAAGGGGACCCTGGCTCCCGTGAGAGCAGCTGCCAAGGTCGTGTGCATGCCCCTTCTCCAGGGACCAGCTGTGCCCAGAAATGCCCCACTTCTCCCCACAGCCAATGGCTGACCGATGCTGGAGTACAAAATACATCCCAATCCATCACTTACACCATAAACCCACCCCAGGCTCTGCTTTTGGGAGCCTCACCTCAGAGACAGACAGACAGACAGGCTCTGTCAAGTGCTAGATGGCAGAATTCTGGGTTGCAATCCAAGCTCCAGAACGGGTATGTGTTGGCTTTTTAAATACAAGTATTTTGCCCTTTAAAAATAACCCCACATTTCTTCCTTAAGTGCTTTGTGATGAAAGCGAACAACATTTATGTAAAAAAGTCAAGGTTTTAAGGAACACTTACTTCACTAAAGAAGCTTTGCGACACAGTTTGTCCGCTCCCCTGTAGTAGTTCACCAACTGCACCAGCCCAGGCTCGTGACCTGTGGAGGAAAGGGAGGCTCAGAGGGGGCCAGGCCCAGGAGGCACCCGGCTCAGGAGAGGGAACAGCTGTGTCACGCCCAGCGTGTTCTCCCTTCCAGGACTGGGTGTTGGACAGGAACGATTCTGCTGCCCCTGCCTCAGCATCCCACTGGCCCACTCAGCCTCCCCGTGGGGGAGATTATAATATCAACATCCCAGAGCTGCCCGAGACCACTGCCGCCTGTTTGTCCTTCTATTTCCCCTCTCCCGATCCCCTCCCTGGCTTAACATACGGGCTGGTAAGTTATCTCTGTACAGAAGGACGGCAGCGGAGTCACACTCCTGACCTCCCAGCCTTCTCCCCATAGCCATCAGGGGCGGCAGCAGAATGGATGCTCCTGCCTCCAGCGCACCTGCTTCTTCGGGCTCCTAAGAAAACCACCAGAAGGCGGGGGGCCGGGGGGGGGGGGGGGGTTGGGGCGCCGCACCCTGTCACACACAGAGCCGCAGGGCAGAGGACTTTCCTCTGTACATCACCCCGCAGGGAAACACATTTTCAATAGATCTTATGGCAAGTCCCCTCCTCCATCAATTAGAGCAGAAAGGATACAAATAAAAACAAAAGCCTTGGTTTAGTTTAAAATCCTAACCAAATGCACTGAATTTCCAGCAACAAAAACAAAAGTAAAACCGAAGAAAGGGAGTCTGAGCTGACGCTGCCGGAGGTATGAATAATTGATGTGAGAAGAGTAGACAACTGAATACAGTTTCTGGCACGGCCTGGCTGTCACCAGCTCCCTGGATCACACCTGGGCTGCCTCCCCTCTCACCCCGGGGCCCAGGCATCTTGAGCCTTTACCTGATTTTTCCTTAGGGTTTGTGTGGTGCACTTTAAGCAAAAGGAAAATATGCCTACAGTGAAGGCATAAAGCATTTTGGTTGTGGGATGCTGCTTCCTTTTCCACCAACGCCAGACGTTCCCTGCTCACCTGCCCACCTGGTGGGCCTGCTGGGTGGTTTCTGCTCCTTCTCCCTAGACCTGAGCACCACGGCAGGGCCATCTGCCTGCTTCAGCCCGGGCAGAACCAGGTGTGTTTTTAACGCTAGGATCCCAGCTAAGCTTTGACAGCAGGCACTGCGGACAGGAAGGAAGTGGGGCAGGCGGGGAAGTGGACGGCGCAAGGAGGAAATGAGCATTCCCGACTGTAAGCAGTTTCTTCTCCTTCGAGGGGAGGTTTACCCTGTGCAGGGGCTTCTCGGGGAGACAGTTCATCTCCAGGCAAATTCCCCATATTCCAAGATTTCTGGGGGTTAGAACTAACCCTTCCCTGCATCAAAAACTTGTATCGTCATTAAAAAGTGGGGGTGGGGGTGAGGGTGGGGGAAATAAACAAAAAAGTGGCTCATGGTCCATTCCAAAGAAAGAAACTTCAGTAAAGGCTGTGCTGCCACACCCTTCATTCCCGGAACCACAGACTGCACAGGGTCCCATGCCTCAGGCAGCCAGCTGGTCCCTGAAGGCCCGATTCAGTCTCTGTCCCTGCAACCTCCCCATCCTGACCACACCTATTTCTAGAAACTGTTTCCTCTCTTGGACACAAAATATGCTCTGCCTGGTTCCCTCCAAAGCAGAGATGGCTTGTCTTCATTTTCCAGTCTCTGCGTGGGTCTCTGGCCTATGATCTGCCCCCCACCCCCCTCCGACCCACGGATTTTGGTAGGGAGCATGGCTACCAGGGCAGCGGCTGCAATTTCTGGTGACTGCGCATGAAGGAGAGGCCATGAGGCTACACGCAGGTCAGTGGGATGGGAGCTGAAGTCCCTGCACAACTTCTGGATGACGTCATCTAAAGAGGAGGGGGTGGTCCACGCCCCACCCCCCCTCCGCAGCCGGCAAAGTGCACCTGGTGGTGCCAAGCCAGCTCCCACCGTGCGCATGAAGCAGGGCAGAGGGAGAACCCGGCCGTGTAAAGCCTGCGTGCGGCGCCCGCTGTGACCCACACTTGTGAGCACGCGTTCTTTGGTGAAGCTAAAGGACGGGCTGAAATCACACGTCTCGCCCCTCCCTGGCTCCCTTCCGAAGCTCCTGCTTTGGGAGTTCAGGTCTTTCCCCAGCCCCCTGGCGGGTCATCTGAGCCCCGGAGAGCGGAATCCTTGGGGTGGTCACCGCGCACAGTGCCCCTCCCGCGCCCACAGGCCGGAGCAATTCCCAGCAGATGTCACCGGCTCCGAGGAGCTCCCGCCCCGCGCTCAGCCCGCGGACCTGCCCGGTGGGGCATCAGGCGTGGGGATGAGAAGAGGAGGCGCGCGGCCCGGGATAGGGGGGCGTCTGGCGGGAGATGGGTGGGGGTCCCACCTGACGAGGGATGTGCGGGACGGGCCATTGTCAGGAGGCCGCGCGGGGACTCTTAGGAAGGATGGTGCAGACCCGTAGGGTCCGCGTCTCATCTGCCGGGTGAGCGACGGGGGAGATCTGTGCCCTCAACA